CCCCCCAAATACCCTAGTTAGGGAGAAAGGCAGCCAACGGCAATCAGGAGTAAGTAAAAGATAGCGTTGGAAGGTAATCAGGCATGTGCAGGAAATACCATCTTCAGGAGTGACTCACTGAATCAGGTGGGGCCCCATCTGTCTGTGCTCCCAGTGCCTCCAACAGGGCCTGCTCTGAGAAGGGGCTCAGTTTACCTCTGTGAGTGGGAGGAATCTGGCAGCCACAAAGGGGGTGGAGGGGAAGAGTTGAGGGCTGGCTGAGCTGGGTGGCCCAGGGCCTGGGGCCGCCATGGCTCCGTCTCTGCCCTGCCTGCCTAGGTGCTGGACCTCAGCCACAACGAGCTGTCCTTCGTGCCCCCCGACCTGCCTGAGGCCCTGGAGGAGCTGCACCTGCAGGGCAACCGCATCGGCCACGTGGGCCCCGAAGCCTTCCTCAGCACGCCCCGCCTGCGTGCCCTCTTCCTCAGGTGCCTGATGGTGGCTGGGTGGGTCAGGACGGTGGTGGCCCTCCCCAGCCACCTGTCCTCATGCCTGCCTTTCTGTCCAGAGACAACAAGCTTCACATGACGAGCATTGCGGCCGAGGCCTTCCTGGGCCTCATGCACCTGCGCGTGGTGGACACAGCAGGTAACCTGGAGCAGGTCCTTGTCCGGCTGCCACCCACAGTTCTGCGTGGGCCACAGGCAGGGGGCCCTTGAACCTGGAGGGGCTCAGCAGAGCAGCACTGATCACTGGGGCTCTGCTGGGATGTGAACCAAGGAGACAGCATCCACCTGGGCCTCGAGGGCTGGGCCTGCTCTGCCCAGCACTGGCTGAAGTACCAGGGCACGGGTGCCTGGGCATGGACTAAAGCACTCCAGTGAAGCGCTCCAGGTATGCAGACCATGCCGGCCTGGCTGGACAAGTCCCCCTACCCCCTATGCAGATGAACAGTGACAATAAAGCCTGACCCTTTGAGTGCTCACCATGGACCAGGCACCCTGCTGGGGGCTCTGCACACTGACTCCCCACAACCTTGCAGGAGGAGCTCTCACTATCCCCAAATCCAGCTGGGGAAACTGAGGCTCTGGAATGCCAAGTGGGTCAGGTAATTTCGTCCAGGTCCCTTAGCCAGAGAACAGCAGTTGGATTTTGAGGTCCTGAGACACACGCAGGTCACCCAGCAGTACCATGGACGACCCAGCCATATACAAACGCAGAAACGCCCAAGGCCACCCACCGAAGAATCACAGGGTGACAGATGTATGGATCCTTACCAGTATCCCCTGCAGCAAGCGTGAGGGTCAAGTACACCCTTCACAGGCATATTGCTCCCCACCCCAGCCTGCTCCCATTCACCTCCTGTCTACCTCTAGGGGGTGTGGGAGTGGGTGGAGAGACCCACCCTGGCCACCAAGAGCCAAGGTAAGAAACAAAGACAGGACAGAGCCAAGTCGGGTGTGGCCCTGGCTGTTTATTCTGTTTTTTGGCCCTGGGGGCCCAGCTGGGCCAGGCAGCCCCCTGGGGAGCCAGCGGGGCTCGGCCAGCCTCAGCGGCTTCTTTGGGGTGTGAGAGGGTTTGGGGGTTAAGGCCAGGGAGGGACAGGAAGTAAAGTGCTTGCAGGGGCCCTCGGGGCTTGGTCCTAGCTACCCTCCCTACTCCAGGGTAGGCCAGAGGCCAGATACCCCTGGACTGTGCAAACAGGACTCTCTCTGAGGCCCACTCAGCCAGGCCTGGGAAAGGGGCACACGCTGAATGAAGGGCACCGTCCCTGACGCTCCCAGCCACGGAGGCTCTGGCTGGGCTGGGAACCTGGATAGGGGACGAGTCCAGAGCCGATTGTCCACTGATTGTCTGCTTGTCTGGTTGGTGGCCGTCTGCTCTTTTCAGCGCCAGGCCGTGGGCTGGCTGCCCACTCTCCTGAGGCTGCCTGCCCTCTCGGCCCCTCACCTGCAGAGCCGCTGCAGCTGGGAGAGAGGCAGCTGCGGTCAGGGGCAGGGACCACAACTACAGTGCCCCCCACCTCCATCCACGCCTCCCAAGCTGCTTACCTCACTCTCAACCAGGTTCCGCCTGTAGAGCGCCTCCTTTGCGGCGTCCTGGGGGAAGACAGGCGGTCGGTGGGCAATCCCTGCAGGCCCCCCAGTGCCCGCCCAGCCCAAGCTCAGCTCACCCTGCTGCCGTCGCTGCCCAGGCGCCGGGCAGCCTCCGTGTAGAACTGCAGCTGACGCTCCAGCTGGGCTGCGTACTCTGGGTTGTGGGAAGTGGGGGGATGTCAGGGTGGGGCCTGGAAGCCCCCACGACTCCCCCACCGAATGCCTGTCCCTGAGCCCCTACCCCTCCGGACAGCTGAGCCCCCCTGTTCCAGCTGTGCTCTCTGCCACTGGCTGCGTTGCACGATGTCCTGGTACTGCTGAGCCACCTCTGGGGGCACTGGCCGCCGCGCCTGCCTGAGGGCTAGGATCTGAGAGTGCAGAAGAGGCTGTGAGGGCCCCGCCTGGACCTACAGACCCCCCAGTACTGCTCCACCCTGCCCAGTGGGGCAGGCACCCACCTTCCGCTCCAGACGCTCTTGGTCGAAGGCCAGCACACTGAGGCTATGCAGGGGCCGGGCTGATCTAAGGGGTTGGAGAGGGATGAGGGGCTGCAGGAATTCCCTCCCAACCCAGGTAATTCAACAGACACCACTGTTGGGGATACCAGGGTTTCAGCAGGAGATAAATGAGGCCCACCCGGGTGCTGCTGAGCCTACAACCTAGTGGGGGTGATGGCTGCACACTCAGGCAACTGCAATGCCTGATGGTCAGGGAGGGCTTCCTGGAGGAGGTGACAGCCAAGTTGAGACCCAGAGAAGTTAGTTGGGAAGAGGAGCAGGGAGCAAGGTGGGGGTAGGGGTGCTCAGGGGATCGAAACACGGAGAAGCCCAAAAGCCAGTGAAAACTAGGCATGGCCAAGAACCAACAGGATAGAGTGGGGAGAGAGAAGGCTGGATATGTTGACAATGGTGAGATCACAAAAGGTCTTAAAGATCAAGCTGAGTTTACACTGGATCCTCCACGAGAAGGGGTGCCAGGAAAGCTTTTGAAGTAGAGGAGGGATATAGTTCAAATTGTATTTGATGGGAAACTGTCTAGGAGGGGCTGAGACAGGAAGAGGAGGTTCCCTCCAGCATGGCCTCGCCCAGCCACCTACCTGTTACCTGGTTCCCTTGCAGGGGCTGGCATGGGAGGGGCTTTTCCTCTGGGCCCTGCCACCTGCTTCAGAGGAGAGAACCAGTCCTGAGAGTCCTGGTCCCCCTGAACCAAGCCTCCCTCCCTGGGGCTGCTGATGGGCAGGAGTCTCACTGTGGGCACAGCTGCTGGCACGGGGTCTATGACCAGCCACCTCTCGGTCGTTGTCTCCAATTGCTGGGCTGTCAGTGGCTCCCGAATCCTGACCATCACCTCTAGCCGCCCCCCTGTGGGCCGACGACCATCTAGAACCTGGGTGGGGGTAGAGGGATGCAGGAAGTGGCTGGAGGCTCAGGGCCAGAATCAGGGAGAACCAGGAAAATTTCCAAAATAGGAGCCCATGGGTGTGGCTGAGATGCCAGTTGGTCATAATGGAGCAGAGTGCAGGGATTATTTAGGGCTGGGCAGTGGGGAAGTCTGGGACTTCCAAGGGAGGGACTGGTTCAGCAGAGAGGGCACCTGGGGGGCTTAGGCCATACTGGAGTGTGCGGATGAACGTCCACCTCTCACCTCAAGGATCTCCCGGACCTCACACGCTGAGTCCAGGGTGTCCAGCTTCAGCTGCGCTGTCCCCAGCACCCGGTCAGTCTTGAATAGCCCTCTGTGTGTGGGGGGGCATACAGAGGGGACAGGAGGGTCAGTCCAGGGCAGCTCCCTCCCCTGGAGCCCACCCTGTATCAGTGGCCCTGGCTCACCCCTTGTGGACGACTTCAAACTTGATGCCTTTGGTCTGGATGGCTCTTCGGAAGCCACGGTGGCTGCGGTTGATGCAGAGTTTGAACTGCTCTTTGAACTCTGCCAGGAGAGAGGTGGGAGGAAGTTGGGTGGGTTCAGGCCATGGTCTTGTGTTCCTTCTGCTATGGGGTGGGGTTGCCTCCTGCCTCGGCTCACCAGGAGAGTCTGTGTTCTTGATCACGCTGGTCTTGTCTTTCTGAGCTTCCTCCTGTGACCACAGAGGACACAGGAAAACTCACGGGCCTGAGCCTGGCCTTGGACCCCCCACCTGACTCACCTCGTAGTCCACTGGTGCCCAAACCCTCCCCTGCTTGGCTCCCCACGTACCACGTTGGGATAGGGGAAATCAAACCGGACAAAGACATCCAGGTCGCTGGGGGACAGCCCTGTGGGCACATGAAGGTCAGAGCTGGGCAGAGAGGTGGTCCCCACGCCCCTGGAGCCTGCGTGCCACCCCCTCACCTGCAGGCGTGGGCAAGTTGATGCCCTTCACGATGAAAAGGAGCATGTCATTGCTGCTGAGATCGGGGAAGATCCTTCCAGGTGGGCAGATGGATGGGCAGGCAAACGGAAAGAGAGGCACCTCAGCCCTACTGCCCGCCTGCCTTTTTTCTCCTCAGTGGCAACAGGGGACAAACCCCACCCTGGCCTTTGGGGATATCTTGGCTCCTGAGCTCGAGTTTTAGAATCAGACAGACAACAATTCTCTGTCCAGGTCTGCCACTGGCTAACTTCTGGGTCTTTTCTTCAGTCTTTGCATATTTATTTAGTAACTACTATGTGCCAACCAGTGGCCTTGCTGCTGGGGGACCTTCTCTTTGTTTGACGATATTTCTTGAGCACCTACTGTGTGCCAGCCAGTGCCCTAGCTGCTGGGATATATAAGTAAATGAGACAGACCCCGTCCCTATGCTTGGGAACCCAATCAAGCTGAATGTACAGATGACAAATAAAAATGGAGAGGCTGGCTGGTTAGCTCAGTTTGTTAGAGTGCGGTGTTATAACACCGAAGTCAAGGGTTCAGATCCCTGTACCAGCCAGCTGCCAAAAAAAAAAAAACAAATAGAGAAATAAACAAAGCAACTCTGCAGAGAATTCACATAGAGGAGAGAGTGGAGCATGCTCAGGAAAGGCTGCTTCCTACAGGGTGGTCAGGGAGGGCCTCTCAGGGGAGATGACACTGTATGAGGCCTGTGTGGCAGGAGCTGAACAAAGCAAGGACAGCAGGCAGAGATAAGGGGACAGGCCACGCAGACATGGGGGAGCCAGGGTAAGGGGTGTGGGTTGTCCTAGATGCAGCAGGAACTGCAGGAGAGCCAGTGACCACCCAACCTTAGGGTGGAAAGACTTAACAGGAGCAGGCCCAACAACCACCAAAACTGTAACATGGCTCTGGTCTCCCACGGGCTCACCCAAGCCCCTGGGACAAGATGCACATTTTCACTCACTAGTGTCCCCAAATGTTTGTTTCCAAATGTGTCACTGTTACCGCCCCCTCGCCATCCTTCACTCGCACCTCACACCTGCCCCAGGGCCTTTGCCCTCCAGAGATGAGTCCTGCACCGACTTCCAGGGATGACAGACCCCTCCCCCTCCACAAAGGGGTGTCCAGGCCAGGAGGCTCTGGGGCCTTACTTGATGATGCTGATGGTCCTCTGCTCGAAGCGGGCGACAGGTGTCGGGAGACCCCGGGTGAAGGCCTGCTTCAGAGTCTCCATGCTCCGCTTACAGTCCTCTGCCAGCTTCTCAAACCTGCCAGCGAGAGCCTGCTCAGGTCCCCGGTCCCAAGGGCGAGCTGGGGCTGCATCTGCACCCATCTGGCGGAGCTGGGAGCACTTACTTGCTGGTCTCAATGATGTTGCCCAGCTGGGTGAATTGGTTAGAGTGGTTCAGGCACATCTGGAGAAGCAGAAGGCAGTGAGGGGCAAGGTGGGAGGGCCACGACTCTGGGGGGCATCTGGCTGACCCCTCACCTCATGCTGCTGTCGTATCAGCTTGGTGAGTTCACCGTAGCGCCGGATGGCCTCCTGAGACAGACCAGGGCCAGGCCGCTGGACCAGGGCAAAGTCATCCCTGTTGATGGGGGCAGGCGGCACCTGGGGAGGATGAGGCTCGTGGGGGGTGCAGCTGGCTGGCAATGAGCAGTCCCCTCCCACAGGACTCTGCAGAAATGTCACCCCTCCTTGGAGAAGCCTTCCCTGACCACTGCTCTTTCCTCTTGGTCCTCCCACCATCTGACAACACTGAGACCATCCTTCAGTCATCCAAGAAATCATTTGTGGAGTACCTACTGTGTACCAGACCTTGTTTTGAGCTTGAAGATGCAGCAGTGAATAAGAAAGACCAAAATCCTTGCCCTCATGGGGCTGACATTCTCTTGGAGGAAATGGGCTATATTCAAAAAGAAATAAGCAAATCGTATGATACAGTAGGAGATGAATGCTGTGGTGGAAAAGCAAGTTGGGAGGAGAAGCAGAGGGTTCTGGGCTAAAGGAAGGGGTTTTAGATGGGAGGTTGGGGCAAGCCTCGCGGAGATCACCAGTTGAACAGAGACCTAAAGAGGGGAGGGAGTGAGCCAAGCAGATATCTGGGGGAAGAGCATTCCAGGCAGAGGGAATAGCATGTGCAAAGGTCCTGAGGTCGGAGTGTGCCTGGTGTTTGAGGACACAGAGGAGGCCAGGCAGCTGGAGGAGTGTGAATAAAGGGACAAGGAGAGGAGACCAGGGAAGGGAGGAGATGGGGCAGCTCGTGCAGTGCCTCGTGGACCATGAGAAGGGGCTGTTTGTGTGTTTCTTGTGGTCTCTCCAGCTAGAATACTGACTCCAGCAGGGTGGAGATTTTTGTCTATTTTGTTCAAGGCTATGTCCCCAGTGCCCTGTGCAGGGCTGAACACCCAGTACGTGCTCCACAAGTATTTCCTATCTGGATGCTGTCCCAGCACGTAAGGAATCCTGTTTTTCACTGAGGTGGGGGGTCACTGTACCTACTTCCCCAAGGAGAAAAATGATGCTCAGAGGGAAGTGAATGGTCCTGCCCAAAATGGCAGAATCTGTTAACTGTCGCCCCTAATCTGATCCCTTCCCATTCCCGAGTAATGGAGTTCTGGCTGGGCATGTGGTAATCTGTAAGATACTACATGTCCCAGGGTTCTTTGCAGCTAGGCCTGACCATGTGACTGAGTCCTGGCCAATGGAAGGCAAGCACAAGGGATGTCACTTCCTATAAAGGAAACTGCTCTGCCTTTTTCCTCTCTCACCCTTTCCTTCAAGATGGACGCCATCCACTTAGATCATGTGGACAAGGATGATCTCTTACGGTGTGGTGGAGCAACAAGATGGAAGGAACCTAGGCAATACAGGACCTCCCACTGCAGAGCCCAGGCTGCCCTGAGTGTTGCATGCAAGAAACATAAATGTCTGTCTCATTTCAGCTGCTGTCTTAGGGGGCCTATTTGTTACAGCAACTTAGCCTGGATGCTGACTAATACACTCCAGGGCCAGAGCCTGTCCAGTGGGCACCTGGTCACTTCCTGAAGGCCTGGAGGGCTCACCTTGGCAATGTCCACAGGCAGCCCGTTGCGCGAGGCCTCCAGCATGGGCTCCAGTCCCTTGGCCTGGCGCAGGTGCATCTTGGCACCCTCCACGTCATTCTTTTGCTTGGCTCGCAGTGCGGCCTGCAGGAGCTGCTTCTTGCGGCCCTCCAGGAAGGCCAGCTGCTGCTGAGCTGTGAGCAGGGGAGCCTCTGCAGATGCTGCCTGGCCCATGGCAGGGCAGCAGGCAGCCAGGGCAGGGAGAGGGACACCTACCTCTGGTGGATGTGCCTTTGGGGGCTGCTTTGGCTGCTGGGGCTGATCCTGACTGGGGAGCCCTTGAGGGTGGGGCCTTGGGCTGGGCCGTTGGAGCCACAGGACTGTTTAGCTGCTGAGGGATGGAGTGGAAGTCAGAGCTTTCCCAGTGCCTGCGATGAGTCCATTTCCCAAGGGTCAGGCCCAACACTGACAACAGGAGCCACCTTAGCTTCTGCTTCCTCAGCACTTAATACAACCTATGGCCCTGTTCTCATTGAGTCTTCTCAACAGCTCTGGGAAGTAGAGACTATTACTCTCCCTACTTAACAGATGAGAAGACTGAGGCTCAGAGATCAAAATGGCTAGCCCATGGCCACACAGCCAGGAAGTGGCAGGGCTGGCAGGTGAGGCTGGTTCTTTCCAGCTCAAGGCCAAGACTCTCGAGACTTTGCTTTGCTGCCAGTCCCCTGGCTCACCCCAAGGCCCCAGCCCCTCACACCTTCTTAGGCACCTCATCCTCTTCATCCTCTGGGCCTTCGTCCTGGTTGGCCAGCTTCATGGCAGTCTCTAGGACCCCCACCAGGCTCTGCTGGGTGGGCTCGGTGGCCTCCAGGCCCTGGATGGGGGGAAAGCCTGGGCGGCAGGGCGGGGTCCGGTCAGGAGGGAGAGCACCCCACCATCATGGTAGAGACACGGGTTCCTCCCGAGCTGAGGAGCCTCAGGCCTCTGAATCTACTTTGAATCCAAGGAAAGAGCTGTGCCTGGTCCTGTGTAGATACTAGACCATTCCCCACCTCTGGCTTCTTTTCTTTTTTTTGGCAGTTGAGCCATTGACCTTAAGTGTTACAGGCACCATGCTCTACCGAGTAAGCTAACCGACCAGCCCAACCCAGCTTCTCTTGACCAGACTCCAACACTAGTAGTGGGGCATCCTCTGTGTGAGGCGGTGTACTGGGCACTGTGGGTGGTTGCTGGCCTGGGACAAGCCCTGAGGGGCTCCCTGAGTAACAGGAGTCCAAGATGGAGAGAGACAGTTACTCTCATGGGGGACACCCAGGCAGCTCTGAGAACCTAGAGGAGGCTTCTAACCACTGGGGAGGGGCTCCCTGAGTAACAGGAGTCCAAGATGGAGAGAGACAGTTACTCTCATGGGGGACACACAGGCAGCTCTGAGAACCTAGAGGAGGCTTCTAACCACTGGGAGGCTGACCAAGTATCTGCAAAGCTGAAACCTGATGACTCGGAAAGGTGAAAGGGAAGGGGACAAGACACTGGTGGACTGGTGAACAGGCTCTCTAAGAATCCCCGTGCTTTTTAGTGTTTGCCAATTTCCACTGTGTAAACACTTCCATCGTGTGCTTGTGGAATTCCTGGACATGCAGCAGCCAGTTCCCTGAGCCTGTATCATTAGAAGGAATAGCACCTGCAAAGGCTCAGAGCCCGGAGGGGTGGGGGCCGGGAACGGGGCCTACCTGGGGGCACAGGTAGTTCAGCCACGTCCACGGCTCGGCCCGCCTTGTGGGCTCGGATGGCATCTTGGTATTGCTGTGGGAGACATAGGTATTAGGGCTCCCTGCGAGGTTTCCTGGGGCTGGCCACGTGCCCACCTGGCCACACGCACCTTGACAATGCGCTCGTGCATGCGGGCTTTCCGCTGGTCCCCCTTGGCCTTGGCCTGGGCTGCGGCCACGTGGTACCGCTCCATCCGTTGCTCCAGCGCCTCCAGCAGGGTCCGTGGGGGTGGGGGAACCTCTGGGCCATACCCAGGGGAGATGGGGGAGGGTTAAGAGTCTAGGGAAAGGGAGACTGTCTCACCCCAGCCTGCCTATCCCAGAGGGTCCCAGAACCTACCTGGCGTGGAGGGTGCCGTGGCAGGAGTTGGAGGCTGCGGTGGTGGTGATAGTGGGTCTGGGGGCAGCTGATCTGGGTACAGAGAGGTCCAGTCCAATGAGCGGCTTGCTTGGCTACCCCTGTCCCCAGGCTGGTCTGCCCTAAGGGAGTCCCCAGGCCTGACCAGTGGGAGTGGCAGCATCCGGGAGAACTCAGTAGAAACCTCCAACAGTCCCAAAGGGTGGGCAGGGCTGGGGCCTCACCAGGTGGAGGGGGCAGGCGGGACAGGTCCACGGGCTCCCCCCGACTCAGGGCCTCCAAGACAGCATCGAAGCTCTGGAAGAAGGAAGGAAGAGATAAGAGAAGGAGACTGCAGCTGGGGCCAGGACCCTGTGGGGGGCCTCCATGCCTTGCCATGCGACAGAGGACTCCTAGCTCTCTCCCTTCTTTTGCACCGTCTTGCTCAATCCTCTTCCAACACTTATGTCCATTTCACAGGGGGGGGTACACTGAGGCTCCAAGAAGCACAGCAAGCTATAGCTAAGGAGCGACCAAACCAGTATTCAAATTTGGGTCTGCCTGACTCAGGAGCCCATGTTCTTTGCCACCATGCAACATTGGAAGCGCCCTGCCCTCTCCCTCCAGCCCTGTCCATCAGTCTGGACACACCTTGGCCACACGGAAGTGTCTGGCGGCTGCAGCGGTATCTCCCTGCTGCTTGGCGTGGAGGGCAGCCAGCTTGTATTCCCGCTGGCGGCTCTGCAACTGGGCCAGGGGACCAGGGCCGCAGGGGCCTGGAAGGGGTAACAATGCACAGGAAGCCTTCAGACCTGAGCCAAGTTCACCACACAAACCATGTCTATGTAATTCTCACAACAAAGACCGTTCTTGAGCCCATTTTATAGATGTGAGAGCTGAGGCTCAGAGAGGGGGTGCTGCCTCCCCAAGATCACACAGCCTGAAGACGACATGGTGGGGACTCAACCCCCAGCCTGGCAGGCTCTAGAGCCACTGCTGTTTTGTCCCCTAAGAGGACTTTGAAAGCTTTATGCACCCATACACATTTTTAAGTTGACATCTACTATTTTTCACCTTCGGTTTAAGAAGTGGCCTAGCCCCTGCTCCTTGGCCTTGGAGTCCCAGGCAGAGTGGGGGCCTCATAAAAAAAAAAAATGTGGCCAAGGTTGTCATTCCCCATGTCTTCCAAATATCAACATTTGAAAAAGAAAACCATCACACTATTCTTAATCTAATGGATTTTAACTACGGTGGTGATTTAAAACTCACCAACATTCACTTCTTATTTTACTTATAAAAATTTTGGTAAAATACACACAACATAAAATTTACCATCTGTCCCCGTACTGGCTAGCAGCAAAAAGAAAAAAAAAACTTACCATCTTTACCACGTTTAGTGCACAGCTCAGCGGCATTAAGCACATTCACAGTGTTGTGCAACCATCACCACCATCCACCTCCAGAACTTTCTCATCTTCCCAAACTTAAACTCCGTCCTCATTAAACACTCACTCCCCATCCCCCTCACACAGCCCCTGGCACCCACCATTCCATGTTCTGTCTCTGTGGATCTGATGACTCTAGGGACCTCACATAAGGGGAATCATACGGTATTTGTTTTTGTGCCTGGTTTATCTCACTAACCATAATGTTCTCAAGGTTCATCCATAGTGTAGCATGTGTCAGAACTTCCTTCCTTTTTAGGGCTGAATAATACTCCATTGTATGGATGGACCACATTTTGTTGATCCATCCATCCATCTGTGGACACCTGGGTTGGTTCTCCCTTTTAGCTACTGTGAATAATGCTGCTATTGACACGGATGTACAAATATCTGTTCAAGGCTCTGCTTTCTATTCTTTTGGGTATATCCCAACATTCACTTTTTAAACAATATCCCAGGACTCACTTTTAGCAGTTGGGAATTTTGAGTCTTCTCTTATTTCCATCCATGTCCCCCATGGAACTTTATCCTGACTTAATATAGCTGTCTGCTCAAAAGCCTTTTTTTTTGTTTTTTGTTTTTTTTCGTGACTGGCATCGGATCGCAACCCTCAGTGTTGCGCCCGCACCGGACCAGGACTGGCAACAGGATTGCAACCCTTGGTGTTGCTCCCGCACCTCGCTCAGCCAGTGAGCGGCCGGTCTGTATGTGGGATCTGAACCCTTGGCGGGAGCGCCGCCACGCTTCCCAAGCGGCGCACTGTAGCAGTGCGTCACCGGGCCGGCCCCTCAAAAGCCTTTTTTGACTACCCTCTAATAGACTTGTACAACCAAAATATATTTATGCAGTGTGTTTGCACAGCTGGGAAACCCAGGACTAAATGCTTTTTAAACAGTGTGTTAGTTACAGTTTCAGTGTAATATGCTCAATATGTTTTCTGGGGGAAGTATTTCTAAATTTAAAGCTGCAAGTGAAATTCTTAGTATCAAAACACACACTACAATAAATACACTATCCAGTGTCTACAAAATCTAGAAACAGGTTAAATGGCATGCACTATACTTCAGACTGACAACTGGACCAATTGCTCTAAACTTAGGTGTACTTCCCTGAAAAGGTGGAGGTTGAAGCAAAATACCTTCACATTTGATTGGTGTTTTTTGGGTTTTTTTTTTTTTTTGGCAGTTGGCCAGTATGGGATCTGAATTGATTGGTTTTATTTCCTATGACTGTAAGTCTCACTGTTAAAAAATTTTCTTCCGGGTTGAATTACTGCTATAATTATTAGTAGCAGGTAATTAAGCAAAACCTAAATCTATCAAGCTTTTTTGATAAAGAATTTTTATATACCAATAGTGAAATTCTACTGGAAATGCACCTCTTGCTGACATGATTGGGGCTGGGTACACCCCCTAACAATTGGCTCCTGTTTCCCCCATTCAATCTCTTCCTACTTTCTTTCTGTTCTTTTTTAAAGTGTCGAGAAACCCGCTTCACACCATTGAGTAGACGATAAGAGACAGAATCCTGTTATTGCAACGTCATTCGATGCTTTGAACTCCCATCAAGCTGCATGCCAAATCCCCATCGTGAAAAATTTCTGTTGATTTCAGCTGGAAATTTCAGGTGACAATTTCAATAGTCCTCAAACTTTGCCAAAAACAATGGCTTAGAAACCAGCTGGGTTGCAGAAGGATTTAGTGACCTAATGTTCACTTTCTCAAACCTACGCCAGTGTCTTCAGTTGACTGATTCCCACCAGGGAAGCACGTGCACCAGGAGCAAAGCCCTGTGTTCATATTCTAGAAGGAGGGCTGGCCAGTTAGCTCAGTTGGTTAGAGTGCAGCCTTATCACACCAAGGTGATGGGTTCAGAACCCCATACTGGCCAGCCACCAAAAAATAAATAAATAAACATATTCTAGAAGAGAGGGAGGCGGGCCTGCCTTTCCTAGGGGGAGGTTAGAAAGGAAAAAATCCTGGGAGGTACATCCTCCAGCAGGTGACTTTTAGGAGATCAAGAAGCTGAGGGTTTGGGAATGATTCACTTACAACTCCATGAGTGGGAATATCCCTGAGCCCTAAAAGGTAATGAAGTTCTGACACGTCCTGCAACATCATGCTAAGTGACAGAAGCCACACACAAAAGGACAAATATGGTATGATTCCACTTACATGAAATATCTGGAAGAGGCAAATTCACAAAGACAGAAAGTGGAATAGAGGTTACTATGGGTTGGGGGGATGGGGGTGGGAGATGGGGAATGGGGACCCATTGCTTAATGGGTAGAGTTTCTGTTTGGGGTGATGCAAATGTCCCAGGACTAGAGAGACGTGATGGTTGTACAACACTGTGAAAGCACTGAATGCCACTGAGCTATACACCAAAGTGGCTAAAATGACAAATGCTTTGTTATATATATGGTACCATAACATTTGTCTTTGGATAGTGTTCATGAACTTCAGGGGCATGAGGACACTGGGACAAGAAGTGTTAAAATATCTAACCAACACTGCATGGTCTGTGCCCCTACAGAGGGACCTATTGTTGAATAGACCACCCAGGTCCCATGTCAGCCTGGCCCTGCCCGCCACCTACCTGGGGGCAGCTGGAGCTTAGATGAGCCCAGGGACAAGGCTGGGGCAGTGGGAGGTGGCCCTTCCATGGTGACCCTGGGCTCCGGAGCTGGTGGGATTGTAGTGACCAGCTGAATGGGTGCGGGGGTGTGGCTGGGCGTGGATGCTGGGCCCTTCCCTACAGCCACGGGCGGCGGGATGTCCCCCTCGTCGATGGCATTGCCCTTCTGGACGGAGGCCAGCAGGTTTTCCAATGTCTGAGACAAGATGTGAGCATTGGTTTGGAAGAAGCCAGGAGCTTGGTGGAGGGGGGTCAATGGTGGGATCCCAGCACCCTGCCCTCTGCCCACTCACCTTAAGTCCCCGGTCATAGCGCCGTATCTTGGCACTGTCCCCAGCTTGCCTGGCACTTTCGATTGCTGTCTGGTAGAGAGCCAATCTCTCCTGCAAGGTGGCCTCCACCCCTGGGCAGGGGGCCGCAGGCTTCAGCTGCAGGAGGAGATGGGGGAATGGTCTGGCTGGTGACCCCTCTTAGACTAACAGTCACTGAACACATATCGCCCCTGGGCCAGCCTCCCCTACCCTGGCAGGGAAGAAACCATGGTCCCTGATTTCCACTGGAGGAAACTGGGGTTCAGAGACATCATGTCACCTGCCCAAGGTCACAAGGCTGAGAAGGACAAGGGTGGGTCTTGAACCCTAGACTGTCCATGGGGTATGGTTCAAGGGAGCAGGGTTGTCAAAGCTGTACCTGGGCCACAGGTGGCTGGGGCTGTGACGTCTTCTGCTCCCCTCCAAGGACCTCATTTAGTTCTGCCTGCAGCGACATGGCAGTCAGGGACAGGACGTGAGGGCCCGCTAGATTGGGGCAATGGCAGGCAATCCCCCCATCCTGCCCTGGGTGCTCACCAGCAAGTCATTATCAGCCTCCACATGCAGCGACATGGCAGTCAGGGACAGGACGTGAGGGCCCGCTAGATTGGGGCAATGGCAGGCGATCCCCCCATCCTGCCCTGGGTGCTCACCAGCAAGTCATTATCAGCCTCCACGTCATCCTCATCTGTCCCCTCCTCCTCGTCCTCATCCAGGTCTCTCATGCACAGTCTGGCCATCTTCTCGATGGCCTCCATAGGCAGGGGACCTGGTGGCACAGGGAGACCACAGCTGGACCAGTATCCTGCAAGAGCCCCCAGCCTCCCATCCCTGACACCCATTACCTCAAAGAATAGGGCAGCCGGCGTGGAGTAACATGTCCTCCTCCCTACCCTCCCATGGCACCCCACTGCCCTGGGGCCCTCTTTGCATGATCCTGCCCTCCACCAACCTCCCCATCCTCATCTCTTCCTTATCCAGCCTCAGCTCTGGGGCTAGGCCTCCTGTGTTTGAACCCCAGCTCTGCAACTATCTCACTGGGGCACCTTGGGCAAGTCACTTTCCTATCTGGGCCCCAGTTTTCCATCTGCTACGTGAGGACAACAACAATTCCTCCTTCACAGGTAGAGTGTGGGGACTTAAGGTGAATACATATCTTAGAACATTGTCATTTGCCTTATTCCTGTCACTTGCTGTAGTTACGTGGTATGTGTGTAAAGTTGCCTCCAGGACTGAATTAGCAAATATGGGACCATTGCTCCTGAGGAAATACAGGCTTAGGTTCCTGCAAGTCTCTGGTCACAATCTGTTCCTCGACCAGGCAACACATAACCTTGCTTTATGTGTGTTTCCGTTTAAAGACTCCTTATTTAAAATATACTGTTGATTAGTCAACAATGAACTCAGGGCCCACAGAACTGTAACTCAAGCCTGAATGAAGCTTCTCCAACACACCCATTTTCTCTGTAAGGCGCATTGCAGCCTTCTTTAGCTTGGCAACACCAGACAGCACTTCAGCACTACACTTGGGACCACTCTGAACAGCAAAATCACAAACAAAAAGCACAGAAATGAGAAAAAACATGGCACTGAACAGATCATGAAAAGGACACCTATTTACAGTATGACAGCTGAAACAGAAGACAAAGCATCACCTCTTAAGCGTCACTTCCATCCTAAGTGGCAGCGGGTGACTCAGTTTTCGTGGTTTTTCACATGTCTGTGAATGACCACAAAAGCGCTGTATTGATTTTGGTGTTACAAATAAATTTTAGTGGGCTGGCCTGTTAGCTCAGTAAGTTACAGCATGGTGCTGATAACTGCAAGGTCCAGGGCTCGATCCCTGCACTGGCCAGCCGCCAAAAAAAAAACCCAACAAATTTTAGTGAGTAGGAGAATTCACAAATACGAAATCCACAAATAATGAGGATTGACTGTATTAGCCAAAATGTTTAAAGGCTCCGCTTGCTCTCTGAGCTCCAGCCCTACTCAACCACTGCAGAGTCCTCTGCATCCTATCCTGTGATCTTCCCCAGGTCACCTGCTGTGACCTCTCCTGGAAGTGTTCTCGAATTCTTCAACTGGTTCTCCCCATTGTGGGTACTTCCTTCAGGAATCCCACCCCGATTCACAGATCTCTCCCACGCGAGGCCTGGGACAAGCCCTGAGGGGCTCCCTGAGTAACAGGAGTCCAAGATGGAGAGAGACAGTTACTCTCATGGGGGACACACAGGCAGCTCTGAGAACCTAGAGGAGGCTTCTAACCACTGGGGGGCTGACCAAGTATCTGA